GACAACTGGCAACCTTAAGTTTCAGGGTTTAAGGTTTAGGGTTTAGGGTTTAGGGTTTAGGGTTCAGGGTTCAGGGTTTAGGGTTTAGGGTTTAGGGTTTATCGTCAAGTTCGGGTTTGACAGTAAGCAGGACTTGCAGAGGCTCTTGGCCGTGCTCAAAGAGCTGGCGAGGAGGTCCCCGCCGGTTGTTAGGGTTTAGGGTTCAAGGTTCAGGGTTCAGGGTTCAGGGTTAGGGTTTAGGGTTTAGGGTTTAGGGTTTGGGATCTTCGGGGGGATTTTGACTGGAATATGTTTTTCGTCCGCTGGCTTGAGTGAGGGTTGTAGTGGCAGGGCTCAGAGCGCATGGCTGAGTGAGCTGCCATCAGTAATCTTTGCTGAGTTTTTCTGTTCGGGTTTAGGGTTTAGGGTTCAGGTTTAGGTTTCACATGTCGATCCTAATTAATTACCTTGGGGGACTAAACGAACCCCCTAAAACTTTTGAACAAATGCTGTATGCTCTCTCTCTCTCTCTCTCTTTCACTCTCTCTCTCTCTCGGAAACAAAAGGCAGGTCCCAAGTTCTGACCGCCTGTCAGCAGCCTAGCTACGTCGAGACGACCGAGGCGCGGTTCAGAATTGCCATCGGGAGCGATCTCGGGATGCCGGGAGAAGTGTTCACATGGCCGTAGTGTCGCCAAAGAGTGGTGTATGGGTTTGGGCGATCAGGTCGCGCTGGGATTGAGTGTACTATGCTGCGCGGCCTAATTAGCCTTGCAGGGTATACGCCCATCATCCGCAACCTGAAACCCTAAATCCTCAGTCCTAAACCCTAAACCCTAAATCCTAAACCCTAAAGCCTAAACCCTAGCCCTAAACGCTACACCCTCAACCCTACACCCTAGACCCTACCCTAAACCCTAAACCTAAACCCGACTTCGCTGCTACCCCAAGGACAGGCCCTTGAGACCCCAACTAGAAACGCACGTTGGGCCCACAGTGCCACCCCATTACTGAAGTTTACGGTTTGGGTTTTGGGTGTAGGGTATTGGGGTTTAGGGTTTAATTGAGGGTTTAGGGTTCAGGGTTTAAGATTCCCACTGACATGATACAAGAGCGCTCGTTTCATTACAACCCTAAACCCTAAACCCTAAACCCTAAACCCTAAACACTCCTTCAGAGAAGGCTTGCTGATAGTCCGGCTCCGGCCCTTGGGTCAAGGGACTAAAGGAGGGACCCTTATAAGGGACATGCGGGGTGAGTTAGGGGGTTTTTTAGGGGCCACTTGGGAACATACGGGCTATGTAAGGCATATATAGGGGTTATATAGGGGATTGAGATTAAGGTTCCTTCTAGGGGGTCCCGGGGTCCCTCCTTATACCCCTTAATTGGGTCCTCAAACCCTAAACCCTGAACCCCAAACCCTAAACTTCACCGGCAGTGTTCCTTGGGGCAGGTTCTTCCGGGTCTGCCAAGACGTGGCGTCCATCTCCAAGAGCGTTCGCACGAAGATGGCCGCCGGCTCCTCAGGGCAAGTCCCTAACCCCGAAACCCTAAACCCTAAACCCTAAACCCTAAACCCTAAACCCTAAACCCTACAACCCTACAACCCTAAACCCTAAACCCTCAACCCTGAACCAAAACCCTAAACCCTAAACCCTAAACCCTAAACCCTAAACCCTCAACCAAAACCCTAAACCCTAAACCCTAAACCCCAAACCCTAAACCCTAAACCCTCAACCCTAAACCCTAGAGTTGCCCTCGGGTGGGCGCAGTGGAAGTGTCCAGCCCTCCTTGGTCGCCCTCTGACAGTTTTGCTGCCCTCATCAGCAGTAGGATCTGTGCCCTCTGAGCCCTCTGAGAAGGTTTGATTGAAACCCTAAACCCTAAACCCTAAACCCTAAACCCTAAACCCTAAACCCTAAACCCTAAACCCTAAACCCTAAACCCTAAACCCTAAACCCTAAACCCCAAACCCCAAACCCCAAACCCTAGCTCTGGAACCCTGGGTCCCTTTACGAGGAAGGCACTTTGGATATTCGATGTGCTCCCTTTTTTTGTTTTGAGAGGGTCATCTGTAGGAAGGATGTTTTCAGAGCCTAGCTGTGCAGCCCTACAGATCCCAGCTGGGGGGGCGGGGGGGGTTAGGGTTTAGGGTTTAGGGTTTCGGGTTTAGGGCTTAGGTTTTTTTGCACACAGGCGTTCTTCTTCCCACCACGATGATGGTACCCGTTTACCCAATACATCGTCCGGCGCCTGGGCTTTTCGCTCGAGTTCGCCACGCTGGCACGACGATCTCAGCCAATGAGCTTGTGATGGAGTCTGCTAAGCTTCGTCGGCATCCGAAGCACACGCGCGGGATCAGTTTGTTTCTCTAAGCCCTAAACCCCAAACCCTAAACCCCTAACCCTAAACCCTTAACCCGAAGCCCTCAATCCCTAATCATCCTAAACCCTTGGAGCACATGTCAAGACGAGTCGAGCATCCGCCTGGCCGGAGAGTTGTTCTGCGTGTTGCTAGACCCTACAGACTTGGGTTTAGGGTTTAGGGTTTAGGGTTTAGGGTTTGGGGTTTAGGGTTTAGGGTTTAGGGTTTGGGGTTTAGGGTTTAGGGTTTAGGGCTTATAGGAACCTACATTTGCAGGTGTGGGAGGTGGTGCCTAGGCAGCCATTGATAGAGTTCTTGGTCAGCGTGCCAAAAAAAACCAGCAAGCTTTGAGACCGCATGGGTTTGAGATCTTAGGGTCAAGTATGGAGGTCCACTCGTGGAAGCCCTTTTCCAGGACCCAGAGCAGGCCCTTTTCCCTGGTTTTTTGGGGTGTAGGCTCCCTTATAGGAGCACCCTCTTTATTCCTGGGTTACTCCTGGGCTTAGTTGACACCCTAAACCCTAAACCCCAAACCCTAGTAAACCCTAAACCCTAAACCCCCCCCCCCAACAAAAAAAAAAACCCCAAACCCCAAAACCCAAACCCCAAACCCCAAACACCAAACCCCAAACCCCAAACCCCAAACCCCAAACCCCAAACCCCAAACCCCAAAACCCAAAACCCAAACCCCAAACCCCAAACCCCAAACCCCAAACCCGTTCCCCTCCCCCCCGCTCCCCAAGGCCGGTCAAGTTGAGATCAGCGAGGAAACGTTGCGGGAGCAGCTGACAAAACAGTGTCAGGCAGAGCTTGAAAAGCTTATAAGAGTTTAGGGTTTAGGGTTTAGGGTTTAGGGCCGTTTAGGGTTAGTGTTTTAAGCCCCAGAAACCCTACAGTAAACTCCAGAAAGTTGGAACATGGTTTAAGCATGATTAGAGCCGGGATTCCCTTTAGTATACCTTTTGGGGTATGGGGATATAGATGTTCAAACTTTTTGGGGTTTATTGTAGGATTTAGGGTTTAGGGGTTAGGGTTTAGGAGTTAGGTTTAGGGTTTAGGACTTAGGGGTTAAAAGTTTTTTTGGTGCGCTATTCAAACTGTGGTCCATTTTGGGGTGTACCCGAACTACAAAGGCCGTGGTTACTCTACTAGAAGGCAGCCCAAAAAGGAGCCATTTCTTAGAGAACCGCCCATGGACACGTTCGGTGGGCATGTGCGGATTTCAGGATTTCATATGCACTATACTAATATGTATAACTCCTTTCAACTTAAGGTATATGAACCGGGTTCTATACCCTTTTCTCCTCTTAAGGTATATGACCCATAAACCCTAAACCCTAAACCCTAAACCCTAATCAAACCCCGTGGCTAGGGTTTAGGGTCGCGGATCCCAAAGGGCCCGAAACCTTGCAAGCACCAAACTGGGGTTTGGGTTTTGGGTTTGGGGTTTAGGGTTTGGGGTTTAGGGTTTAGGGTTTAGGGTTTGGGGTTTAGGGTTTCGGGTTTAGGGTCAGGGCGTCGATCCACATTCGCATTGGCAATCTTCAAGCCAGCATTACTGGATCTTAGCAGGAAATGCCGAATGCATTAGTAAATCGAATAATAATTCGGTACCCTACAATTCCTTCATTGAAGGGTTAGTCAGGGGGATTTGCAAAGTACCTTTTTCCCTTGTTCCCTGTCTGAGGTGTTCGGTCTTGAGATTGTCTGCATAGGGCAAGAAGAAGATTAATGGCAATTTGGTATGCGTCACGGCAATGGAAACCGGCATGGGCGTGGACTGGGAACATGGGTCCGTTCGCTACATTGCGAAGACGGACAAGGAGTTCAACAAGTCCGTGACGCCTGTGCAGCAGCGTATGAGAAGCTGCCAACGCTTCAGCTTTGAGCAGAGCGTGCAGGGTGTCCAGGAGCTAGGCTGAGAGATCTATGTTGAGCTGCAGATCCCCTTTTTGCTTAGGACCCTAAACCCTAAACCCTAAACCCTAAGCTCTATAGCCACTTAAGCAAACAAAGCCTCCCGTGTTCTCTCCTGGGTGGCTCGTATAAGCCCCAAACCTTGAAACCCCAGACTGGCTAGCTGTCCCGAAACCCTAGACCCTAAAGCCTAAGCCCTAAGCCCTAGACCCTTGTGAAACCCTAAACCCCAAACCCCAAACCCTAAACCCTAAACCCTACGGCGGCCAGTAAACACCTAAGGCTCAAGCCTAAGTTTCATGGTCCTAAAACCCGTAAGGGTCCACGCGCCTAGAATTCGTAGATATGACCAAGTGTATTGCATGGGTACAGGGTACATGACCCTAAACCCTAAACCCTAAACCCTAAACCCTAAACCCTGAACCTAAACCCTCTTCCCTCTGGGAACCCTAGGAAGGTATTGCGTTTAGGGTTTAGGGATTAGGGTTTAGGGTTTAGGGTCTTTTACTCCCCTAAACCCGCAAACCTAGACTTTAGGGTTTTTTTTCGGCTTAAAGCCCCTGAATCCTAGGCCCTTGGCCCCGATTGCCGATCAAGCTGTAGGCTGTTGGATCCTAAACCCTAAACCCTAAACCCTAAACCCTAAACCCTAAACCCTAAACCCTAAACCCTAAACCCTAAACCCTAAGCCCTGAACCCTGAACCCTGAACCCTGAACCCTCAACTTCAAGCCCTGCGCAGATCTTTGAAAAGCTGGGCCAGATCCAGGCCGAGGTGCCGCTTATCCCGGCCGGCTCACAGTAAACTCCGAAAAGTTGGAACATGGTTTAGGGTTTAGGGCTTAGGGCTTAGGGTTTAGGGTTAGTGTTTTAAGCCCCAGAAACCCTACAGTAAATTCCAGAAAGTTGGAACATGGCTTAAGCATGATTAGAGCCGGGATTCCCTTTAGTATACCTTTTGGGGTACGGGGATAAGGATGGAACTGGGTTTAGGGTGTTTGGGGCTTGGTGCTTGGCGATTAGGGCTTAGTTTAGTGTTTAGTGTTTAGGTCTTGCACGCACGCGGATAGGATGTAGGAGTTGCATTGTTTAAGGGCTCACAGTGCTTAAGGTGTCTTGCGGGTTTTGGGGGGGTTTTGGGGGGGCTTGATTCCATCCATGCTGTCAGAGACAGGTTGCTTAAGAAGAGAGAGGGTGCTGAAGGCAGTCGTAGGGCTTGGGGCTCAGTGCTTGACAGGGTCTATGGGATTTACCAGGGTTTTATGGGGTTTTATGGGGTTTTAGGGTTTGCAGGGTTCACAGGTTTTGTTTTTTTGTTGTTTTTGTTTCGGGTTTTTGGGGGCATAGGGTTTACAGGGTATACAGGGCTTATGGGCCTTAAAGCCATTATATGGTGCTAGGGCTTTCCGGGACTTGCGGTGTGCTCCTCTGGCTGTTGATGTCGGTGTGTCGGTGTTCAGGTAGGTGTTTCTTAAATCTAAACCCTAAACCCTAAATAAACCCTAAACGCCATGTCAGGACCCGAATGCCGAAGCCTCATACCGTGAATTGAAAATGTTTTGTTGTTGGTTTATTGCTCTTACACCCCTTCTAAAAGGGTTTAGGGTTTAGGGTTTGCTTAAGTATTAAGGCAGGGCTAGATTTGGCGGCTGTGCCGCATGTCATGCTTTTTAGCATTCGAGTTCTTTCGCGTCTTGGGTTCAGGGTGGCGGACATAGCCACAGCTTAGGGGGCCGACATGTGAAGCCTGAAGACAGACACGCCGTACCTTAAACCCCTCAACCCTGAGGTACTAAGGCCCAAGCCCTACCTCACCACCCTCTCCAAACAAAACCACATGACAAAACACAATAAGCAAACAGTATATGAATCGTTTATCTATTACTTCATGTATTTTAATCACAATAGTAGTGTAAAGCACAAAACCCTATAAGCCCTATAAACCTACAAACCCTATAAACCCTATAAACTCCATTCATATCAACCCCATAAACCCTGAAACCATGAAAACCCTATAATTCCTGTAACCCCTAGAAAGCTTTAAAACCCCATAAACCCTGTAAACCCTAGAAAGCTTGGAAACCCTATAACCCCTATAGACCCCACAAACCCTATAAACCCTGTAACCCCTACAAACCCTAGAAGCTCCAGAAAGTTGGAATGTGGTTTAAGTTGAAGGATGACTATTCCAACCTTTTTGGAGCTTACTGTAAATTCTATAAACCCTGTAAACCCTAAAAACTACTCTAAACCCTCTAAACCCTATACACCCTGTAAACCCCCTCTAAATCCTGTAAACTCTATAAACCCGATTTAGCCCCATAAAGCCCTGTAAATCCTATACGCCCCAAACCCCCAAACCCCAAACCCCTAAACCCCAAACCCCAAACCCTAAACCCTAAACCCCAAACCCTAAACCCTAAACCCCAAACCCACTTGCGGAGCAGGTGGCCCTGCGCCATGGCCTCACGGAAGCACAGCTGGAGCAGCTGCAGCGGGCCGGGGAGCAGGCCCTGCCAGTGAGGGTTTAGGGTTTAGGGTTTAGGGTTTAGGGTTTAGGGTTTAGGGTTTAGGGTTTAGGGTTTCGGGGCCGGGGAGCAGGCCCAAGAGCCCTTTCAGTGGGGCAGTGCCTCTAGGGTTTAGCGGTTAAAGTTTAGGGTTTAGGGTTTGGGGTTTTGGGTTTGGGGTTTAGGGTTTGGGGTTTTGGGTTGGTTTAGGGTTTTGGGGTTTAGGGTTTAGGGTGGGGTTTAGGGTTTGGGGTTTGGGGTTTAGGGTTTGGGGTTTAGGGTTTGGGGTTTGGGGTTTGGATTTTGGGGTTTAGACGAATGAAGTAGGTAAATGGGGACCTGGTAGCTCAGAGGTACCGTCTTGCCCCTTGTTTTGTTCTAGGTTCCCTTATTAAATAACGAACCCGGAGATTGGTACCAGTTTACTTGGTTATACCTACTAATACTACTGTATGTAGGCGACGAGGGTCCCAGGTAATTACTTGGTTATACCTACTAATACTACTGTATGTAGGCGAAGAGGGTCCCAGGTAAACCCTAAACCCCTAAACCGCAGCTTTTTCAGTGGGGCAGTTCCTCGATATGACCGCCCCCTTATTCTATGGTTTGTTTCTCGCTTTAGGGTTTAGGGTTTAGGGTTTAGGGTTTCGGGTTTCGGGTTTAGGGTTTAGGGTTGAGGGCTAAAGTTAAGGGTATCGGAGTGGCTGCTTGCATGCTCCGACTCATGAATGGCGACCAGGGACGCAAGATGCTGCGCAGGTGCTAGAAGCCAGGTGTGCTTGAAGGGAGCAGCACACGATGGGTTTAGGGTTCAGGGTTCAGGGTTCAGGGTTTAGGGTTTAGGGTTTAGGGTTTAGGGTTTAGGGTTTAGGGTTTAGGGTTTAGGGTTTAGGGGGCCAGAGCCACCGAGATATGAAGGATTGGGGGCCCCTAGATCCCTAGACACTAACAGTGAGTGGACTCTGTTCCGTCGGCAGGACCCACAAGTTCAGACCTACGACACAGGCGAAGCTGGGCAGTCTTTTGTTTAGGGTTTAGGGTTTGGGGTTTAGGGCCACTGCAATAAACGAATCTCCCTGGTTGAAGCCACGAAATGTTCGGACAAGAAGCACAAACATGCAAACCCGAAAGGGGATCTGATGTGGTAGTTGTAAATTCGGGCTTCCTTATCTGGACCCTTGCTACAAAACACGTGGTCGCCTGAGTTGGTTTCAATTCGAGGGACCATAAGCTCGAACCCCTAAACCCTAAACCCTAAACCCTAAACCCTAGACCCTAAACCTCACATTTCTGAAGCGCTTCCACTTGGTAGCCCGGTGGTGCCCTTCTCTTTTTTTGGTTCAAGGTTCCCCCAAAAAGTAACCAACCCAAAAAAGAGTGCCCTTATTATGATATGGTTACTGGGCTGCCAAGATTTCCAAAGCGCTTCAAAGAGCGGAAGCACAAAGGTCCCCACCAAAAAGGAAGTATATGTTTGTTCAGTAGGGTTTAGGGTTTAGGGTTTAGGGTTTAGGGTTCAGGGTTTAGGGTTTAGGGTTTAGGTCCTACTGACAACTCCTGGGTCCTAAGTCCTGAACACTGAGAACTAAGAACCTTAAGATCCCTAAACCCAGGCCCCCAAACCCTAAGCCCCAAACCCTAAGCCCAAAGCCCTAAACCCCAAACCCCAAGCCCAAAACCCTAAACCCCAAACCCCAAGCCCAAAACCCTAAACCCCAAACCCATTCTAAAGATGCAGCACGAAGATCAGTTTGTGGGCACATTGTGCTTGGAGCTTCATGGTACTTAGTAACTAACCATAACTGTACTTATGCCCTAATATGGTTTTGAGTACAGTTATAAGTACAGTTATAAGTACAGTTCTAAGTACACTTATAATTGGTTACTAAGCAACATGATCCTCCAAGTTGTGCAGGTTTCAAGGCCATGCTGGAGGACGCCTTGCAGGGACGCAGCCCGATCCTGCCGAACGACGCTCTGGCTCGTGGTTGGGGGTCGTTAGGGTTCAGGGTTTAGGGTTTAGGGTTTAGGGTTTAGGGTTTAGGGCTTAGGGCTTAGGGCTTACCCTAAACCCTAAAACCCTAAAACCCTAAACCCTAAACCCTAAACCCTAAACCCTAAACCCTAAACCCTAAACCCTAAACCCTTAGGGTCTAGCGTCTAGGGTTTAGGGCTCAGGGTTTGCATTCTTGTCTTGGAAGCTTGAGGACTTTCAGACATGACTTGCAGGGGTTGTGTGTAGATTTCAGGGTTCAGGGTTGAGGGGTTGAGGGTTTAGGGCAAAGCCTTAAACCCCAACCGAAACCCTAAACACCAGCTCGTGGGTTTCCTTGATGGCGAGTCAACACTTGAAGTTGCGCGCGCTCGTGCGTGCGCTTGTATAGCGAGATCTGGCAACTTGCGTCCACGCCGTGTTCAAAGCGGCGTTCAACCAGCCCGAGTTCGCCCCGGCGTTCAAAATGATCTCTGGCTTGATGGAGTCACTCCTGCGATGGAAGGTCGTTCGGTGCTGCAGCTGGTGTGTAGCTGGGTGCAATTAGGTCGGCCTCGCTCGGGGTCGCTCTGTCTGCGTTGTACGAGGTCCCGATCTGGCTGCCGACTTTTCGGGGATGCACACACGGAGTGGTTGAGTGGTGGGCCATCGCGGTCTTGCCGGATGATGACATGGGCGCGCTTCGCGCGCAGGCAGCCGACAGCGGGATTCCACGAGGCTATGCTGCTGGCCTGTCAGGGCCACCCGGCGGCACACCAATCGGCACCCCCCCCCCCCCCCCCCCCCCTAAGCCTGAGGGTTTTCGGGTTTAAGGTTTAGGGTGTTAGTGTACAGGAACATCGCACCCCTTGCATTGAGCGTGTTGTTCGGAGCTTGGGGGGTTTCAGTCTTCGGGCTTCGGTGCGGAAGCAGGCGCCCTGATAAACGCCTTCAAGTCCATGGTCTCCACGGTTTAGGCATTTTAGGTTTAGGGTTTAGGACAACTTTTTAGGGTTTAGGGTTTAGGCTTTAGGCTTTAGGCTTTAGGCTTTAGGGTTTAAGAGGTTTGCGGTTGAAACCCTGATTCCTGCAGGGCCGGGGCGTGGGGCGTTGCTTGTAGTTTTGCCCCTAACTCCCTGGGGTTTAGGCTTTGGGGTTGAGGGCTCATGACCCTCCACCCTCCTGGGTATGCCCACGCCAGGTCAAGATACCCGAAGCACTGACGAAAGATAGAGCGCCGAAGACTGAGATTGTCGGGCACTTCATGTCTGCAAATGGTCAGAACTCTCACGAGATCTTGCCAAGCAGGTTTGATTGAGCAGACCCGAAGCCCTAATCCCTGAACCCGAAACCCGAAACCCGAAACCCTAAACCCTACCCGCCCTGAAGAACCCGATAAGTGGGTCCTGATAAGATCGACTCCGGATCCTGAACCCCGAGCCCCAAACCCTGAAGTTTGGGGTTTAGGGTTTAGGGTCTAGGGCCTACGTAGGGTTTAGGGTTTAGGGTTTAGGGTTCATTGTTTGGGCGGTTAGGGTTCAGGGTTCAGGGTTTAGGGTTTAGGGTTTGGGGGAACACGAAGAGCCACCAGGTTGCCGCCAGAGACCCCAAACCCCTATAAGCCTCAGACGGCTCTCTTTGTAGGCTTTAGGCTTTAGGGTTTAGGGTTTAGGGTTTAGGGTTTGGGGTTTAGTTGCATGGTCCCTCAATATGGGCCCTGAATTTGGGGAACCTCTATATACCCCGTAGATACCCAATTCGAAGGCGCAGAAACCCGAAACCCTAAACCCTAAACCCCTTTAAAGAGCGTAAGGGAGCATATTAAGGGTTTAGGGTTTAGGGTTTAGGGTAAGGGAGCATATTAAAGGTTTGGGGTTTAGGGTTTAGGGTTTAGGGCTTCTAGACTTTGCGAGACCAGGCTGCAGATTCAGAGGCAGGCGCAGGAGGCCGAGGAAGAGGAGGTGGGCAAAAGAGACCTTTAAAAAGAGGGCAGCTACGGGTTCAGGATTTGAGAGGTTTCAGGGTTTAGGGTTTGGGGTTTAGGGTTTGGGGTTTAGGGTTTAAGTTTAGGGTTTTTTCAGGGCTTAGGTGTTTGGGGAGAGTCTGAGGTCTTAAGGGGTTTGAATTTGGGGTCTGCGCTTAGGATTTGAACTATTTGGGTCTTTCCGGTTGGGAGCAGGAAGGAAGCATTCTGCAATTGTGAACACGAAGCTGCGAAGCCCCAAGCGTTGGCGTTTTTGTAAATGTTGCGGAGACTTGCATCTATTGCTGGTGGACAACTGCAGTATTCAAACATAATAAACAAAACTAAGCCCTAAGCTTTATAGACCCAAAAGCTCATCTTCTTTGTCGTTGTTTGAGGCTCGTAGTGCTGGATGCCCTTCTTAAGCCTGGTTTAGGGTTTAGGGTTTGGGGTTTGGGGTTTAGGGTTTAGGGTTTAGGATACATGCTTTGAACTTTGGGGAAATCCGGTTTCGTAGCGCACTTGATCGAGCCTAAGGCAGCTACATGGTCCCTTGACCTTAAACCCTAAACCCTAAACCCGAAACCCTAATGCAAACTCCACATTGCAAATGGGGTGGTAATTGGTTTAGGGTTTAGGGTTTAGGGTTTAGGGTTTGAGATTAAGGAGCGGCTGCCTGGCGACATGGCTTTTCAAACGGTCTGCCAGCACCTGCGAGCGCATCCCCCGAATCCTTTGCCGCCCAAGAGCCCCCAATGGATGCTTTGCCGGGGAGAAGCTCGGACGGAGCCTCCGCGCAGCCTTTTCTTCAGATGCAGTTGCAGCTCATCCCTAAACCCCTGAACCCCCTGAACCCCTAAACCCCTAAACCCCTAAACCCGTAAACCCCTAAACCCCTAAACCCCTAAACCCCTGAACCCCTGAACCCCTGAACCCCTAAACCCCTAAACCCCTCAACCCCTCAACACCTAAACCCCGAAACCCCTAAACCCCTAAACCCGAACCCTCTAGAGGGCAGCTTAGCCACGGCTTGATTCCCTGGTGTGTAGAGTCTTGATGTGAGGGCTGCGACGTAAGATGACTTATGGCTAGGGACTTATGGGACGTGGGCGAAGACAGTGTGGAGCGGATTTTTGAGCTTGGGGTTCGGGGTTTAGGGTTTAGGGTACAGGGTTTAGGGTTTAGGGTTTAGGGTTTAGGGCTAATTACGGTTCAGGGCTAGGGTTCAGGGGGTTCAGAGTTTGTGCCTTGAGGCGGTTTTGGGTGCTTTCGGGCTCTTGGGAGGCTTTGCGCCTCGTCGGCAGCTCGAGCATCTCCCTTCGGAAGCTCGGCGAGGCCTTGCGAAGCACCGGGGCTCCGAAGAGTTCCCGGGGGGTCTAGGGTTTAAGGGTTAGGGGTTTAGGGTTTAGGGTTTTAGGGTTTTAGGGGTTTAGGGTTTAGGGTTTAGGGTTTAGGGTTTAGGGTTTGGGGTTTGGGGTTTGGGGTTTGGGGTTTGGGGTTTGGGGTTTGGGGTTTGGGGTAGGGTTTAGAAAGTTTATGGCTTAGGGCTCAAGGTGGTTTAGGTGCGGGCTTCTTAGACCCTTAAACCCCCCTACTAATTAGTAGGAGCTGCCGAAATCTGAGTGAGAACTCCCCTACCTCGGCCATCCGAATCCTCCCCGCTCTTCCCAAAACAAACTGACCCTAAACCCAAAACTCTAAACCCTAAACCCCTAAACCCTAAACCCCTAAACCCTAAACCCTACACCCCTAAGCCCCTAAGCCCCTAAACCCCTAAACCCTAAACCCTAAACCCTAACCCTAAACCCTAAAACGTCATGCCTGAAAAGCACCTGCGAGGCAGGGACCATATAGCTTATAACCCCTATTGGGTGTGATTTTTGGATGCTTTTTGGGTGTCGGGTTTAGGGTTTAGGGTTTGGGGTTTAGGGTTTAGGGTTTAGGGTTTAGGGTTTAGGGTGCTTTTTGCGTTCACGGCGCCTCGAAACCCTAGAAACCAGAACCCCTAGACTCCGTGGAATGCCGAACCCCGATGTTTTTCTTTGAAGCCTGGGAGGCCCCGGGGATATTTTTTCATATAAACCCTAATCCCTAAACCCTAAACCCTAAACCCTACTTTTTCCTTTATAGGGTTTAGGAGGAGGATGGTATGTAGGAATGTTTTGTCAGAGGGTTTTCAGGACCATCTGTTGTGAACCCCCCCTCCGCGCCTCCTCCCCTTCTGCCCCCGCGCTCCTCCCGCCCGAACTGAGATGGGAGCTGAATCCTAAACTAAGATGCTTTGGGCTTGGGGCCTCGGCCATCTCAAACCCTATTGCAAATTGCAAGCGTGCATGTCCCAACCCCGGTGCAAACCACCCTAAAACCTAAGCCCGAAACCCTAAACCCTAAACCCTAAACCCTAAACCCTAAACCCTAAACCCTAAACCCTAAACCCTAAACCCTAAACCCTAAACCCTAAACCCTAAACCCTAAACCCTAAACCCTAAACCCTAAACCCTAAAGCCTAGCCCCTGCCAGTTCTTGGCCGTGGCGAACAAGAACGCCTGGGAGCGCACCTTCAAGGTCCTCAGCTCCCAAACAGGGCTTAGGGTTTAGGGTTTAGGGTTTAGGGTTTAGGGTTTAGGGTTTAGGGTTTAGGGTTAGGGTTTGGGGTTTGGGGTTTGGGGTTTAGGGTTTAGGGTTTAGGGTTTGGGGTTTATAAGGGTTTAGGGTTTCGGGTTTAGGGTTTCGGGTTTCGGGTTTCGGGTTCGGGGGAACAAGCCACTAGGTTGTGGGGGTTTGGGGTTTAGGGCTTAGGGCATAGGGTTGAGGGCCTAGGGCTTCGGGTATAGGGCTGCTTCGTGATGTTTATAGGGATCCGAAGTCTAGGCCCTTTATTATATTATAATCCTATTATATATATATAGTGAAAACGTTGTATCAAATCAGAAAGTTTTCCGTCGGTATGGTACCCTAAGTTTCTTAGCTTCCATTACTCCATGTACCCGGGGAGGTTTGAGCTAGGTTAGGCTTGGTTTCTTGAGTGGTTTCTTAAACTATTCGCTATACCACTAGACCAAACCCACATATATATATATATATATATATACCGGGAGGGGGTGGGGGGGGGGGGGGGGGGGTTGAGGGCAATGTGTTTTTTTAGGGTTTAGTTATTTTTCCATAAAACCTGACTCTCGTGCACGGTCGGGGTGGGTGTTCTTTTTTTTTGGGGGGGGACCTTTGCTGGTAGCCTAGTGACTGGGAGCCCCATTTCCCCCCCCCCCCCCCCCCCCCCCCCCCCCCCAGCAAGGCAGAATTTTAAGAAAGTGGCCCCGCACTAGGGCACCCCAAGTTTCTGAGTTAAAAAGCAGCCGTAAATGGCCCAACATCCCCGCGGATCTAGCTCAGTTTCTTATACAATGGTTTCTTCTACAGTGGTTTCACCGTAGTGTATATAAGGGCTATATAGCAAGGGACCCAAATTAAGGGCCCCATACTTCGGTTCCCCTCTTATATCCCAAAAGCCCAGAGCCCTAAACCCTAAACCCTAAACCCTAAACCCTAAACCCGAAACCCTAAAATGCCGGGGCGAAGGACCATGCAAGCATCCTCGGAGAACACGGCGCTGAGGCGCCCGGGATTCGACATCTGGGGTGTAGGGGCTTGGAGTTTAGGGTTTAGGGTTTAGGGTTTGGGGTTTGGGGTTTGGGGTTTAGGATGTAGGGCGTAAGGTTTAGGATTTAGGGTTTAGGTGTTTTGGGGTTTGGGGTTTAGGGTTCAGGGTTTAGGATTTAGGGTTTAGGGGTTTGGGGTTTAGGGTTTTGAGTTCAGGGATTTCGATCCGAGAATTGCCTTCAAGGGTGTGTGAGCGTGTATGTGGAGTCCTCAATGCTCGCGGGGAAGGTTGGCCATCGGGGGTAGCCACTTGTAGCCACTTCTGCATACGAGGCGCCTCGTTTTCATCATGACTTTGGAGGTTCATGGTGCTTCGTAACTAATTATATCTGTACTGATAACCCACTTATAAGCCCCTTAAGTCCCCTAATATTGTTATAAGTACAGTCATAATTAGCTACTAAGTACCATGAACCTCCAAGTAATTCTGTGCCCACGCGCCGATAAAACCCTGACCCGGGTTGGAACCTCATCCTCACTGCTCTTGATACCCTGTCGCAGGGCAAGTATGAGTTGGCCGTGGCTCGCAAGGCATATACACGGGGTCGCGCGCATGTCTGGGGGTGGGGTTTAGGGTTTAGGGTTTTGGGTTCATAGGGTTTATAGGGTTTATAGGGTTTATAGGGTTTATAGGGTTTATAGGGTTTATAGGGTTTATAGGGTTTATAGGGTTTATAGGGTTTATAGGGTTTATAGGGTTTATAGGGTTTATAGGGTTTGGGTTTTAGGGTTTGGGGTTTAGGGGTTCGGGCAACCAGCAGACAACCCAACCCTCGTGAGCCTTCCGGGGTCTTACGGTTTCCAACTTCAAGTCGCCGAAGACCTTGAACCCTAAACCCTAAACCCTAAACCCTGAACCCTAAACCCTAGACCCTAAACCCTAAACCCCAAACCCTCCAGGTCTACCACAGTGTGGCCGCCATCTATGCGCGACAGCCAGACTTCGCCCACCAGAAGTCGGAGTGCGGCCCTTGGGGAGCGAATCCTGGGGAGTTAAAGGGTTTGGGGTTTAGGGTTTAGGGTTTAGGGTTTAGGGTTTAGGGAGTACATGAACCCCTAACAGCAGGATCCCGTACCTTGGTTAGCCTTGTGTCAAGGGATCGCTGCATTCAGGGCATCGAATGTAGGCTTCACGTCGTCCCCAGGGCCTGTAGTATGGAAATGGGAGGCCCTAAACCCTAAACCCTAAACCCTAAACCCTAAACCCTAAACCCCAAACCCTGAGTTGAAGATGTGGGGGCTTGAGCTTGGGTGTATGTGGGTGCTTCGTTGGTTTTGGGGTTTAAGGCTTGAAGTTGAGGGCTTTGGGTTTGGGGTTTAGGGTTTAGGGTTTAGGGTTTAGGATTTAGGGTTTAGGCTTTGGCGCTTGAGGTTTGGGGTTTAGGATTTGGGGACATTGGCGGGTCGATGCTTGTGTCAAAGGGGACAACTGTGGGGTGGTGGGGGGGATGCGAAGATTTCACAGATTGTCAAGGAGCGCAAGATGTCGGCGTGCTGTGTTGTAAAAGGGTGTTTGTATAGAATTGGTGTTTAGGGTTTAGGGTTTAGGGTTTCCAGGGTTTAGGGTTTAGGGTTCAAGGCTTAGGGTTTGGGCTTCACGGCCTACGGGTTTCTCTTTGCGCTTCGGGTGTCGAGTGGTTGGAAGGTGGTCGAGCTCAAAGGGTTTTAGGAACCCTAAGCCCTAAGCCTTAACATACACCCTAAGCCCTGAACCCGAAACTCTAAACCCTAAACTCTAAGCCCTCAACCCGAAACTCTATACCTTCAACCCGACACCCGAGTGTAGGTTTCCCGCAAGGCTCGAGGCAGCGCACCAGAAGCGAATGATTCAGCACCTTGGATTCTCAACACGCGCGTCGTCCGAAAGGGTTTAGGGTTTAGGGTTTAGGGTTTAGGGTTTAGGGTTTAGGGTTTCGACCCTTCGCAACCCTAGGTTTGTTCACGGGGCCTTGTTCGTGCAATGACTTTCCTATCGCGGCCGTGTCCCACATTAGGCTTTCGGGTCTGATGGCCGTTTTCTGGGGAGGATGGGGATTGTTTGTTTTTTTGAGATCTGGTCATGTGACCAAGCTAAAGGCAACCTACACGGCACCTAAACATGTTCCCGCTTATACTAACAGTCCTTAATAGGGATTATAGTACCCCCCCCCTTATAATCCCTATAATGGACTGTTAGTATAAGGTGGAACATCGCAACCTTGAACCCCATTGCCTCAATGATCACACGCCCTCCAGAGCTCTTCCTGCATCGGCCTCTAAAAGGGCATGCCCCCGCAGATTGTGAGCATACTCTTAGGGACCAGTGAAACAGGGAAGGCATTCGGGCAACAACAAATCGCGATTCACAAGCGGATGGATGAACATCTGGGGTTGAGGGTTGAGGGTTGAGGGTTGAGGGTTGAGGGTTGAGGGTTGAGGGTTGAGGGTTGAGGGTTGAGGGTTGAGGGTTGGTTGAGGGTTGAGGGTTGAGGGTTGAGGGTTGATTGAGGGTTGAGGGTTGAGGGTTGAGGGTTGAGGGTTGAGGGAGGGTTACTCAGCATCAACCTGCCGACGGGGTGGAACGCTTTCGAGGGTCGCACCTGCGCGGACGAGGTTAAACTCTCAAGACTCAACCCTAACCCGTCCGAGAAGAGGGAAGCTGTAGACCTTAAGCCCTAAAGTCATGGGTTTCCCTACGACCGCCCTCTATACTCCCCCACCCTAGGTTCCCCCCTTAAATAACCTAAATTAGGCTTAATTATCCCTAAATAGCCTTAACTTAGGGGGAACCTAGGGGGGTAGTATAGAGGGGGGTAGCAGGGGAACCCATGAAGACCTTAAGCCCTGAACCCTAAACAAGCCCCAAAGGCCTTCTGATGCCTAACTTTCTTTGCACAGCCTGTTCCTTAGAGCCTGTCCCTGACGTTGTGTCCAAGGCGCTTTCAGCCGGATGGAAACGGCAATGTGACGGTGAATCACTGAGTTTGTAGGTTAGGTTGGGTGGACAGATCTGGTGACTTTCGCGATCTGGACGTGAGCTGCAATCTGTTGCGCTTGCAACACTAAAGGGTTAGGGCTCCGGAAGGCATATGGGGTTGCAGTTTTATAGGGTTGATGGTTTAGGGTTTAGGGTTTAGGGTGTATAGGGCTTATAGGGCTTTGGGGTTCAGGGTGAACGATGCAACGGTGCAACGGAAGCATTTTAAACAGCGGGCGTGGAGAGTCGACTCAGATCAGCTCTTAGGGTTAGGGTTTAGGGTTTAGGGTTTAGGGTTTAGGGTTTAGGGTTTAGGGTTTAGGGGTTTTGGGGTTTATCGAGATGGGTGAATCTGTTATATAAGCCCTCGCTGGTAGACGAACCGCATGAATTATAAGACGGCCTAGGGGACTTGTCCCTTATGGGTCCTGTGCAGAACTACCCATAATCATTACCGAAAGCTCCAGTTGTGGGTCCATTTATGGTGGTACCTAATGTTCCCATAAGTTTTTTTTTGAAACCCTGAACCCCTATAGCCCTACGCAGAGGTACCCAGATAAAAGAAACCTCACTTGAGGTCCCAGGTACCTCAAGAACCCAAAGCCTACAAAAGGTTGCCTCAAAATCCTAAACCCCAAACCCTAAACCCTAAACCCTAAACCCTTATAAACCCTAAACCCCATGGAATGGATATTTGTAGACTCATGCCCTGAAAAATGGTCGGCCCGTTGGGGTTCTTAAGATAGGGCGGAAGTTTGAGGCGGGGTTCGCTGGGAGCCGTTCAGGGTTTGCGGTTTAGGGTTCAGGGTTTAGGGTTTAGGGCTTAGGGTTTAGGGTTGAGGGTTTAGGGTTTAGGGTTTAGGGTTTAGGGCTTTTGCTACCCTCATTGGGGGCAGCTCAAGATCGGTGTCGAGCTCCGCACCACTTTTGCACGGAGTTTTACAGCATGATGATGCACAGAATGCGCGGCAAAGAATCTCAGGCGGTACTCAGGGAGCTACTATTACAACTGTCATCACAACACGATGGTTGCTGTTTGTTTACTACTATTGCTAGTTTCCATTGCTAGCATTCTTACTATCTTGCCTATTGCAACTTTATGAGTATTTATTCCTATGTATGGGTACTAAACTACTTCTGTAAAACTACTCTTTTTACGATCTATCTTGTTTCAGTTCGGCCCCAGATTCCCTTCCCAACCAGGTACCCCCGAATTTAGGGAACCCCCATTTACCATTACAAAACACCACCACCCCGCCCCCAAAGAGCAATGATCCAAATACCCTATAAACCCTAAATCCTAAACCCTAAACCCTAAACCCTAAACCCTACACCCACCGGCTTCCTCATCTTGCTGCCCCTTTTATGGCAAACCCTAAACCCTAACCCTAAACCCTAAACATTAAACATGAAACCCTTCTTTCAACTCCTGCGACCAACGAGCCATAAGAGTAGTATGAGTAGAAAGTGAGAATAGTGATAGTAATCATAGCAATACCAGTATCAACAGAAATCGTGTTCATAGCAATCGTAGAATTATGGTTAAGTAGTAGTGTACAAGTACTACTAGTACGAGCCGTAAGATTCATCAGTTGCTGGTTGCTCTAGATCCTTTGCTGCATCGTCCAAGTGGGTCATTGGCTTCAGGCTCCTCATCCGCAAGTTGTGATTGCATGCTTGCGTCGACATGGGCCTGCGACAGGGAGAAAAAAAACGAAGCTTGCGAGCCTTAAGCTGTGTCTTTATACGCTTTCGAAGCCACCGGCACGAACTCGGAGGGTCGAACGCCTGCGTATGTGAAGAGCGACGTACGGCAGACCTAGACATACCACGCGCTGAATCTGATACGTCGGCTGAGGTTAAGCCGAGACGCGCCGTTTCTCTCCATTTTTACTGAGGACTGCCCTTGGATTTCGGCACCCCAACAACACCAAACCCTAAACCCTAAACCCTAAACCCTAAACCCTAAACCCTAAACCCCAAACCCCAAACCCTAAACCCTAAACCCTAAACCCTAAACCCCAAACCGCCCGGTTGAACCTCTCGGCCTCCGTGGCGCGCGAAATGCCAACGATGGAACCCAGGATGCGCCTACCGATCTCAGAGTTTGCCAGCCGCCGGTGGTTTTAGGGTTTCCGGGTTTACGGGTTTTAGGGTTTTAGGGTGTAGGGTTTAGGGTAAACCCTAGGGTTTTGCAAGGTTTCAGGGTGTTAGGGTTTTGCAGGGTTTAGGGTCGCCGACGTGCGCCGCCGAACGGAACCTTCTCTCGCCTTTGAGGGCAAAAGTCGCTTGCGTGCGCTGCGTCAGCGGGCCTCCTGTTCGCAGTTCGCACCCTTCGCTTCGACGCCGTGCTGCCGCCATCCTCGCCCTGCGCCATGCTGCCGCCGCCTTCAGGGTTTAGGGTTTAGGGTTTAGGGTTTAGGGTTGAGGGTTGAGGGTTGAAGGTTTAGGGTTTAGGGTTTAGGGGCGCTTGTTTTTGAGCTCGGCGGGTGCTGGAGTCCGCTTATACGCTGTCGTCTGCCTCCAAATGTGCTCAAGTGCAGGCGCAGTGCCGTCTCCGAGCAGCTGCGTTCTGCCACCCGCGGAACGAATGGGCAAGGCTAGTTGCGGGGTCGCAGCCCCGCCATATCACGTCAAGCTATGTCCACGCAGATCTGGGGGAGCTCTGGTCTGCACATGCCCCCAGCACACGCACCCGGCGACAACTCGTGTGGCTGTTGCTGCTCATCTACGCGACGCTGCGCAGCAATTACCGTTTGTGGTCCATGCCGCTGTCGATTCCGAAGAAGCTCACACCCGACCACGCCCACGAGACTTGTAATTGTCGCTCGATGCTCGAACTGTTCGCCAACCATGCGCGTCTGGACATTGACGACCTCACGGCCAGTGGCAAATGCCCTTAGAACTGCATGGAGGCCTGCACACGGACTCTGGGCCCACCTTCCACACGAGCTGGTGCTTTCGTCCAAGGTGGAGGGCTGAGAGGCATGAAACTGGTGCAGCGGACACCGGACACGGACGCAGGAGAGCGTTGCATCATTGGCAGCACTCATGTGAGTCTACGAGCGGGCCCCCGCGTCACGCTACGCCGTGATGCAATCCCAGGCCGGGTTCTGCGTTGCGATGTGTGACACGGCGCTCAGACGGTCGTGGGTAAAGTTACGACACTCGCTTCGCCCGTCGCACGCGTTGCTGGTGTGTATGCACTGCCGCCGGCAGTGTGGTGGGAAAGCTGGTGAGGCGACGGCGCAAGCGTAGGGACCCGGCTGTTGGTCATAGTTGGGCTGGAAATCGGCGACGGGTTCCATGCTGTTAGCTGCAAGGGCTCCAATTCGCAGCCCTCTTGCGCCGAAAGCACACCCGGCGGTTTTCGTCTCACCGCTTGGCTTTCAACACGCGGTACGCACGAGTGGAGGCTTGTGCCGGATGGGAAAATGGGGTGATGCAATGGGACGCCTGACTCGGTTCATGTTTTACCATGTGTCACACACGCATGGGCTTGAATCAGCATTGAGCATGAATACATGTGCAGTCTGCTGCAACATGTGCATGTGCGTCACGGTCAGAGTCATGCATTCATGCATGGTGAATCAAATGTACAAGCGCCAAAGGCGTCATAACCATGCAGCGGCTCCGCGGCATTATCGTTTTGCTTCGGCAACAGTTGATGTTGTTCGTCATATGCTGATGTTGGCATTGGCCAGATTATACTTGCAGGTCGATTGCGTGACCATCTCGGGATCGGTGTTCGTACCGGTGTCGGGCGACGTTTTCTGTCGAAAATTCGAGCAGGGCACGCCTTCCAGAGAGTCACATTTGTGCATGAACAAACGGCAGGAAACGCCCATTTCTGACAAAATCAACATTCCGATGGGTGGCGCAAACGATATGATCATCGTTTTAGCGTGAGCCAGGCTCCGGTGCCACGGGCACGCCCCTTCCGAACAGCATCGACGTTGACGTGAAGCCTGCATTGCCACAGCCTGCTGCGCTTCCACCCCCAAATGCCCCCGTCTTTCGACAAGCAGCGAGTTCACCACAATCGAACCCATTCTGACATTTACACCATGCTGCCGTCACTGCGTCAGTGGGAAAATAGCCCGACGCATAGCATCGACGCCAAACCAAGCGTGACGATCCCTATTTCCTTTTTCTCGGGGAAGAGTACCAGTTCTTCAGCCGAGAACGACAGATAGTCGAAGAAGAAAGTGGAAACCGCCACGGTGTTGACAGGGACGGACTTGTCATCTGTTCTGGGTGGCCGATGATGGATGACAGTTTCCTTCGTACCCCAAGCAGGTGCCGATGCCGTCGTGTCCCAGCGCACTGTTGTGGAGCGGGTGCATCAGGTGCGCAACGGCACCCCACTACACTCATGCGATCTCACGCGAGTACCCCAACTCAGCTGAACCACGTGCAGGTGGGCCGCTTTCGTGTGGGCCAAATACCATGTCCAATCCGAGAAAATGACACTCTTTCGCGTTTTGTGTCGGCGGGATGACACGACACCATGGTGCAATTGCACGAAATGGTGTTGTGCTAAGTTCCGAGCACATCCTCGTCGAGCAAGTCGGCGCCACGATGGTCTAATGGGTTGTTTGTCGAGAGGTTAGAGTTAGATGATTTGGCTGTCGTGCGAACAGATGCCGATGCGCATCAGTGTGCGATCCATTCGCCGCATCCCATCAGCAGATCAGAGTTATCTCGACAATGCCATTGAATACCGTCAGGAACCGAGTGTTCGCTCAAAAAGTTATGCCGGTAAGGGGCGTGCGAGCATGTCACTTTGAGCACTTGTTGTTGGTGTATGTCACGAGAAAGCATGATGGCATGTTTCACGAAACAAAGTTCGCGCCTCAGCTATACTCCACTCCCTTCACCCTCCAACACCATCAGCTTCTGAAGAAACCAACCCATTCCCAGCGGGCAGAAACAAAACGCAGACCGCACGCAAATGGAAACCAGGCATAGACCTCAGTTGTAACTTTCAGAACACTGCCTGCGT